AACGGGCCCTTTTGTTCTCGGCGGACCTGCTGGCGTCCTCCCACCCCGCCTGGTCCGTCCCGCCGCCCCCGATCCTCGGGGGTAGGCTCCGATTTCCTCACCCTCGTTGCCGTTTTTTTTTTCCCCCCGCAGGAGCCTGGGCCGCGGCCTACGCACCGGTTCCCGGAGCCTGCAGGAGCTGGTGGCCGCCAAGGAGGCGGAGAAGCCGAGCGGGACCGAGCTGAGGTGAGGGGCCCGGTCCTCGGCCGAGGAAGGAACAGAAGTGGCCTGACTCGGTCACAAACGCGCCTTGCGTCTTCTGGAAACTTGATCCCTCCTTCCTTTCTCAGTATGAAAGAAAACTTTGCAAACCATACACGGCAAATCCCTGATAACTCTTTGTTTTGCTCCTCAGCCCTTTAATCCTGCAGAGGAGCTCCATGAGATGGGATGGAAAGACCTATGAAGAGATCCCGATAGCTCACATCAAAGCTACCTACAACAAGTAAGCAAACGAGCTGCTCCGTTCCTGCTCTCATGCAGAATCAAAGCTTGTAACCTAGCCAGGCTTTGGCCAGGCATCGTTTTGATCCAAAGGCTCAAAGGTAAAAAGCCAGGGGAATGGTGTTCATGACTGGGAGGATAACGCTGAACTCAAACCTCAGTGCTGTTCAGGAAGCAGAACTGTCTTTATAGTGTCTTTAATGACAATAAGACTGTTATTACACCTTTTGGACATGAACAATTAGATATTGATGGCTTAGTGACAGGTCACTTCCAGCCTTCTGCTCTATTGTGAGTTGCACAAATTGTCATATTCTCCATGAGAGACAGTTGCATTGCCTTAGTAATCCCTAGTATGATATTTTCCTGATTCTTAAAGCTCTTTGAAGTTCTAGAAATGTTTCATGCATTTATTTTTGTTTTTAATAAATAGAAGAGGTCAAATGCTTACTGTGAGAGGTGGGTCTGGAAGGGCTGAGCAGTATCTGAGGCACACCTAGATAAAGTGTATCTTACCCAGGAGGGTTTTGCCACCTCGCTGGGGTTCTTGAGGGTGACCAGAAGGTCACTGCTCAGCGGGGACACCTCAAAAGGCGGCGCTGAGTCGGGGCAGCTTGGAGAAGAGAGGTGGGGGGGTCTTGTGCTAAGGCGAGCGAGGAGAAACCTTCGAGCAGAGAATTTGTTCTAGGTTGGCTCTTTCTCTCATCCTCTTCGTGCAGCACCCACGTCCAGGTGGTCAGCTTTGACAGCAGGCCCCTTGCCCGCACGTCCTGCGGCACGGAAGGCTTCCAGAACGCCAAGAAGGGAACGGCCATCGCCGCACAGACCGCGGCCATAGCAGCAGCCGTGGTGAGTCCTCCCTCCTGCCCCCACCACCAGCAGCAGGCCCAGCCCTGCTCCTCCCAGCCTCAGCAGCTCCAGCTGGCAGGGCTGAGAACACAGACACATCCAGTGTACTGTAAAGGGCTTCTAAAAAACCACGTGGGTGCACAGGAGTGTTCTGTCCCGGTTAGAAGGCAGAACTGTGTCCCCACCTCCCTTATCCCTCAGTTTCCCAGGTAGAGAGGTAAATAAGGAAGGCAGGGGGAATGAAAAACCTTGCACCAAATTGAAAGTTAACAAAATGAAATATATTATTTAACAGGGATCAGAAAGGAAGAAGGGTAGGGGTTTAACAGGGAAGGGGGGTTGTAGGAACAACAAGGTAAGGAAGATTAAACTTCCAAATATACAAAACCCAAATGCTGTGCTGAGGCTCCCCAGTGCTGGATCTCGCTGGATTGAGGTGGATTGAAGCTGGATGCACAATCCTTGGACGTGGATGGAGGCAGGGAAGAGTCTGCAGATCAGGCCCAGGTCTCCAAGAAGGCCACGGCCACGGGTAGCACAGGGAGCAGCAGAGCAGCGTGTGCCCAGGTAGAAGGTCAAAGGAGCAAGAGGAAGAAGAGCAAGAGGCAGAGTCGTGCCTTTCTCACCCCTTTTATAGACTTTGGCAGGATGTCCCAAAGACAGGAAAAAGGGGAGTGGGAATAGGACAGGTGTACGCCCCTTTCATTCAGGCTTGGACCTGGTTTAGGGTTTCAGATCTCCACCCACCAGGGGCAGCAGGTTTCAAACCATTACAGGGAGGCAGGAGGAGATGAGGCTGGTTCTGTCCCCATCCTCATTACAGCTGACAGAGGCAAGGTTAAACTGAAAATCCTCATCCTAAATGAGGTGGAACTTGCTCCAGCCCTTCACATCAGAGGTGTTTGGTGCCACTGCTGCCCAACAGAGCGTTGTGGTTGACTCAGAGGAATGTAAGAACATCTTCACTATTCATCTGTGCTCATCAGAGCCTCGAAATAGCTGTGCAGCTGTGCTTGGCCAGATGTATTCTGTCACTGTCAAAGCTGTTAGTACATTAATTGCACCAGGACATGGAAAGCTAAATCTAGAGGAGCTCCATCCACGTGGTGGCAGCACAGCTCTGCTTTACAACGGGTGTTTTCCAATTTGCAAGCCCCTAGACTTCTTGCACTGCAGGTGTGGACTCCTGCACAGCAAATATAAAGCCTGCCTGCTTTTCTCATTTACCCTCCAGAAGGAATCCACCGATCACAGGAGAGAAGTCACAGCGTTAGAGAAGGGAACACAGCTTTGAGTTACTCCTTGTTCGTCCCTTACCAGTTCAGTCACGTATCTGTGGGCATCTCATCCTCTGCCCTGGCTTCAGGTTACAGATGGTTTGATCTTGAAGCTTTCTGTGCACGCTGAGCTGACAGCCTAGAAGTTTTCCTGAAACTGCTATGGCTGAGTCCAGGCATCCTTTTCCTCTAGTGTATTTGTGCAATATTCCCCATATTTGTCTCCTGTAGCCATTACTACCTGCTCCTTCTTTTTCACTTAGAGAAGACTGTGATAGTGGGTCAGGAGGGAACAGAGGACTCCTGTAGCTGGCTCAGGCAGAACACTGACCCATGGTTCTCTCCACAGAAAGCACGTGGGAAGGGCGTGTTGCACGTACGAGTCGTGGTGAAGGGACTGGGGCCAGGACGCAAAGTAGGTGTCAGACTTTCTTGTGATGTTTTTTTTTGTTCTTGGGCATCATCCAGGATTTTTAAATTTGGGTTGGTCTCATGACTGCACCTATTAGCTTGGTTTTTCTGAAGGGGAGGTAAAGAATTCATCACTCAAGTCCCTCGTGATGAAATTAGAATCATTATAGAGTAATATCCCTCTGAAAAAAAAACCTGTAATTTTTTTTATGCCATCTAAATTTCTATCTAATAAAAATCTAAAATTTTTATGAAAATTTTTTCATCTGCCATCTTGTCCTTGCAGGCTGCCATCAAGGGTTTGACTATGGGGGGCTTGGAGGTCATCTCCATCACAGACAACACGCCGGTGCCCCACAATGGCTGCCGCCCGCGGAAGGCCCGGCGGATGTGAGGGGGGCACTGCCTCTGTGAGAGGCTCTGGAAAGCCACCCTCCCTGGGTGGGGAAGCTTGAGGAAGAGACACCATCCTGGGCCTCCAAAGCCCAGGTGGTGGAAGCTGGTGGTAGCAGGAATATGTGTACTCCCATAGTGGGAAGCCTCTTCTGTACAAAGTTTGTTGATTAAAATGTTGGTCTCTTGACAGCCGCTCCTGCTGTGTTTGCAGGTGCTTTGGATTATTATTGTCTCTTGACTGCTCTCTTCCTCTTACCACTGTATGTGGTCTTGTCTCACCCTCCGTGCTACTGTTGCCCTTGTTAGATGGAAGAGGAACTTGAGGTCTAGATCTTACAGTCACCTTAGTAAACAACTGGATGGGGTCACGTCATCCTCCCTCCCTCTTTCTCTCACTGCACACATTTGGAAACGAGACATGGGGTAACTCTGCCCCTTCTCCCCAGCTTGGAGGGGCAGCTCCACTCAGTCACACTGCAGCCTGGATCCATCACTGCTTTGCTTTGGTAGCTGGCCTCCTGGCGCTACCAGCAAACAGAAAGTGCCTGAACTCAAGGGGCTGGGATCTTGCCAGCTTTGATGGTTGCAGTCTCTGATCCTGCCTCGTGCACCACGAACTGGATTTTCTGGGCTGCTGGGGAACTCAAGCAGGTCCTCAGTAGGCCTGAGGAACATCAAAGCACTGCCAAGCAGATTTAAACCATCTCAGTCTTGACCTGCACCTCTGGATGGCCACAGGCAGCGTGAGCTTGTCATGGCTCTGTGATGGATCATTGCTGTCCCAGACCCACCCAGAGAGGATTTCTGCTAAGGAAGGGTATACGAGGCTCTCTGGAGCGTTAGCCAGGGGTGGGAGCATTAGGGCTAACTGACCACAGGACTGATTCCTGAAAGGCAGAGGCACAAAGGGCCCCTCCCCAAGAGCCACGCTGCCAGAGAAGCCCTGGCCCTCCACAGCATGCATGGGGAAAATATTTCACCTGTAATCTGTGTTTTGGTGCAGCCGGCGGTTCTGTCACAAACCCAGAATCTTCCTTTCTATTATTTCTCTTTCTGTCATTCCTCCTTAGTTTTTTAAATTGCATATTTATTCTCTTCCTCTTCAGAGAGAGGCTACCATGGCAACCAGGCAGCGAGCCTCCTTCGTAGGGCTGGGCAGCATTCGGCAGCTTTTGAAAGAAATCAGCCTGCTTAGAAGAGCCTGTTGAGTTGCATTTGACAGAAGAGAAGAAAACAAGAGTTGGATAAATCCCCCACCTTACTCCAACTGTCTGAATATGAATAGAGGGTAGGTTATCATCAAGGGAAGTTCCTTGAGCTGTCACAGACTTGACAGCAGGGAAGAGGTTCTTCCATAGATGTCTGACGCCAGAAGAGCTTCCCCCTCGCTCCAGAAATACAGCTGAGCTTCTAGGGACTTCATACTCCTCTTTTTAAGAAGGTGCCATATAACCTGCAAAGATTAACTCTCAGTAGCCAGGCAGCAAGCTGGGGAAGGCACGTGTGAGCACAGATGTGCCTCACATCAAGGCTGGACTGTTGTCCAAGGGTTTCTGTGACCCTGAGAAAGGAGAAGCACCAGTCTGCTCTGGCAGGCTTGAGTAACCTCACTGAGAAAACTCACTTGAGTCACCACTGAGAAAACCAAACACCACTGTCCTCTGCCACCAGCTGCCCATTGCATCAATGCAGAAGTGCCCACGTCAGACAGAGGATAGAATTAATTGAAAAATGAGATTGGGAAGAGAAATGCAGTCCTCCTGAAATTCAGGGAAGAGTAGGTGGGTGACTGGAGAGTCAGAAAGCCATTAGGATAAAGCTTTGTCTTTCCCAGACTTGGACTCAAGGCTGTGTACTTTGTAAAGGCCACTGCTTAACACTCTTGGTTTCTGAGCATTCATGAACATCTTACAGTCTACCAAAGCACTGGTCCTGCTTACACAGCAGGAAGTTTTATCTCCCTGGCTGCCCTGCCTAGTTCTTCTGGTAGCCACCCCTACTTCTTCCTCCAACTGACATCTACACAGCACTCTGAGCTGGACAGAAGAGGCTGGCACCCTTCTTCATGGTTCAGTGGCCAGAGCCATGCAGCAAATATTTGTCTTCCAAACCCCCAGCTCCACGTCCCCTCCCTGTGCTCTCTGGCACAGTGCTTCAGCTGGGCAGCTTTTCATTGGAAAAGCTCTCCCACTTTCTACAAGGGCTTGGTCGCACGTTCCTGCACACACTCTGTGGTGAAAGAGGCCTTAGAACTCCCTATTGTCATCCTTGCAGGGAATTAATAGGCACCAATAACACTTAATGATTTCCTTACCCTTCAGATGAAACTCTTAATTAAGGGCCTGGTTTTAGTCAGCCGCTGGTGTTTACCAGTTCTAATTGCTTTCTTTGGCACCTGGGTGGAACGCTGCTTTCTACTGGCCCACATTCCTCCTGAGCAGCAATTACTTGGCAGCATTGTGGCCACAGCATTTGCAACCTCATTAGGGTCACTGTCTCCCCTTTGGGCTTCCCCATTGCTTTGAGACATCCTTCTCGTTACTCATTCCTAACCTTTGATTCCCCACTCTCAAAAAAGCTTTTTTTCCATGAAACAAGCTTAGAAGCTGCTACTGACTGCAAAGCTTCACCCTGGTCCATCCGTGGTCTTTCTGTGGTGTTGCCCTCTGTTTTTAAATAGCACATGGACCTTTCTCCATCATTTAGGGAGTGAAACACAAAACAGGCTTCTGACTTAGAGATAAAAAGCTGCCTTGGGTCTGTTTACCCCCTAGTCAGTGCCATACCACCTTGGGGAGTGAAGTCTAACTCGGTTACCCTTCTCTGGGACAGGGATGGCACCTGGTAGCTTGGAAAAAACAGCCCCCAGCCTTCTCCCCGACAGTGTATTATTCTGCAAAGAGGAATTACCTCCCTACCCCCAGCAACAAGGACTCTCTACCCAGAGCTGCAGCTTCATCTGCTGAATTGGTTTACTATGTCTTCCCTGAGCATCTCGGTGACAAGAGTCAGGCAGCCAATTTCGATCCCTTTGTGAGATTCAATTAAACCATTAATGAAGTGATGTCAGCGTCCTTTGGCAGCTGACTGTACACACAAGCAAGCCAAGGAGAAGGGGACGGCCCCTGCCCTGCTCACAAACCCAGCAGCAGGGCTGGCTCCCCACAGCCAGGGGGGGGACACGGGTGCAGGTTTTGCCAGCTCAAGGAACACCCGGCTGGAGATGTGCACCAGGCGTGTGGGTGAGGAGGTGTTTGCAATCCTAAAGCACCCCTCGGGAGCCTCGCAGGAGGAACAGTTCAGATGAGGTTGTGTTTCTGCACTCAGACTTCAGCAGATCATCAGGGTGCTGGCGTCCTTGCCCGGCCCCTCTCCCCCTCGCAGCTGCCCCCTCCAACTTCAGCCCGTGACCTCTCAGACCAGAAAGAGATCAAGGACACTCGGATTGTTTTTGTGCTTTTCCAATGCTCTCCTCTCCCCTCAAGAGGCATTAGTGGGTACTTGGCGGTGGTGGAAACTGCTCAGAGGTTTTGCTAATGAACTGCCTAATAGCACCCAGGTTCCCGGGCTGATGGTGAAGAGGGGCTGCGGGGTCCTCTGGGGGAAGTGCGGAGGGGAGACAATTCCCGGCGCTCTTCCCTCCTTCTGAATCACCCACGCCTCCTCTGCTGTGCTCTCCAAGCTCCCTCTGCACTAGTGCCACTTGGCAGGGTCCTTTCATCCTCTAGGGTTCATAACTCTCCTCCTACACCCACATCTACAGGGAGCTGGAGGCTCTGCACCTGCACCCAAACCTCTCGGCACTACGGAGCCCCAGGAGCCACCGCTCCGCAAAGCTGCTCCCGGCAGCACTTCCCAGCTTGGTTATCTTCAAAAATAGGCAGAAGGGAGAAAGGGATGGGTGCAAGGGGCTGAATGCTAAGTGAGGATTCAGGCAAGGAAAAAGTGGCTCCAGAAAGAGAACACAGAGGGAAAAATGCAGTAAGAGAAAATACAACGTGATAAAATAACCACACACACAAAAAAAACACAACCACAAAAAATTTCCCTAGGCTAAAGTCTCTCAGGTAGTGATCCAAGAGTCAGCACAGATTAGGAGAAGGATGAAGGGACAGGCTTTCCACAACAGGGCTCGATGTGCTCCCCTGGGCTGTTCTCCCAGCCAGAGCTCAGTCTCAGAAGCTGGGGTGGCCTCACTTGGGAGCCCTCCCTGCCAGCATGAGCAGCTATTTGGGGCTTCCACTTCACCATTTTAAAGGCAGCACAAAGGCCATCTCCAAGCTGTGTTTAGAAACTGCTTCAAGGCCTCTCCAAGTGGCAATAATTATCCTCAAAACCTTCCTTCTCCTTTTGAGCTAGCTCTGAAATCCCTCCTCTGCACCTTGCCACGTAAGGATTCAGTTTGGAAAGCCAAAGTCGAAGCTGGTGCAGCTGGGGTTGATGTCCACCATACCCCCAGCCACACTGCTACCTGGGACTCCAGCTTCTTGCCCCTTCTCCCTCTGCTTGCTCTTCTGTGCAGGAGCAGACCAGGCTTCCCACCGCACACAGCACTGCAGGTAACAACACTTGAGGCCCCAGACAGAAGAGAGACACATATTTCATCCCCTGACCCCTTCAGCAGGTCTCAGCATGAAGTGGTGAAAGAGATCTCTTATCTCTTCATGCACCAGCCTGCAGGCAAACAACTTGCTGTCCTAATTGCCAGCCAGGGCTCTCACCAAGGCCCTCTTGCCAAGACCTGGATGCCACTTTTCATTTTGCTCCTGCCGAATCCACAGAAGTAAATTACCAATTTCCTGAGCTGCCAGAGTCAAGCTGAACAAGGAATGCAAGTAACTGTAGACTGGGCAGCCCTCCTGGCCCCTCTGTAATGCCAGCGGCCGGGAGCAGCCTGCTCCAGGGCTGGGAGATGCTCTGAAGCCCCCTGCTCTTGGGCATGGCTGTAAAACCAGCCCTGTCTACCGAAATCTCTGCAAGAGGAACAGCGCAGCCGGC